TAGTGGATTTTATTTTATCGTACCATGTAGCTTTAAAGAACTACGATTTTCAATTTATTGAATCAAAAAACAATTAATCTTAAGGTTGATCAAGAACCAGTAGTAGAGGATGGACAACCGCAGGTACAAACACCACAATCTGGATTCATCCAAGGCATGCAGAACTTCATGCCAGAATTTATCTCGAAGATAAAGGTAAGTTTGGAGATTTTGGTCTATTGTGTAGGGATGAATTAAATCCACATAATTATGGGAGTTAAGGTAAAACAGGCAAACGGCTTTAAAAAAATGAGGTACTTGCTTTGAAACTCAGAACGTCTACAAAGTCTGGATGAGAAAAGTGAAATATAAAACAATGTTTAGATACAATATGTGCTTCATAATTCGGTAAGCATCTCACTAAAATCTCTGAAACGCAGAACATAATATATACAAAGTGGGGAAATAATTTTTAACTCTACCAATGAAAACATTAGTGGATACTTTGTAGATAAAAAAAAACTTGTCATAAAAAATTAACAAAAATTTTTCCTTTTTTCCTTTTTTTTACTGATTTTATACAACAAATGAGCTTTACTAGGAGCTTAAGTAGCAGAGATGGAAAAGTTAATTTTAAATGACCTGTCGAACTAAATCAAACAAAGGGATTTCACCACTGGGTAACCTGGAAAACTATAAATTTCTCGACTCATCGTGTTGCTTCAAAATTTTGAATATTAAATAGGTGTGCTCTACCTCTTTGCTTTATACTATTGACTTTCACTCACCCACTTTGAAACGAAAGTAACAATTTTTGATATTTTGTTTGTTCTTTGAAACAATTGCTCACGAGTGCTTTTTCTAAACTGTGGGCAGATGGTTACCCACTCAAGAAATTTCCTGATTTTACGTTATATTCTTCGATTAACCAATTAGAATATTGAGAATATCTTTGTGTGTGTATACATAACCATAACTTGTATAGTGTTTAAAAAATAAAGGGAAACTCTCAAATTTGATTTTCAACATAAACAGAAAGGCCAAAGATTGATCATATCGTCATCAATAACCGAAAATTCGGTTGAAGTGGTATGCACTGCAAGTAGTGTTGCAATATATGTGTTTGAATATAGTGTTCTCATGCCTTTATACTTCTCTGTACACTTTAAGGACAAGAATTGCAACAAAGTTCAACCACTGACCATACGTATAGAGTACAACCCGGAAAAAACCGAGAAATTGTTTGCTAAGCTTTGTTTAGCGGCACGGCTTAGAGAGCACAGCTATACTTCCGTTCTCAGTGTCTCTCGTTGTTGTGTAGTATTCGATCGGAGAGTCTATGACAACAGCGAGAAAAACCCAATGATTAGTTGTTTGCTGAGCAGCGGCGTATAGCGTAATTTCTCAAAAGGAAATGAAAAGGAAAGAGTAAAAAGCAAAGGGAAAGGGAGGTAGGATGGGCGTTAGAGAGACTAAACAGTCAGCTTAGCTATGATATTTTGGGAAAAAATAGTATGAGAAACTTCACTGAAGTGAATTCCCAAAAGAAAATTTGACTTAAGGCCCTAAATCTCTTAATCATTCTTCCTAGTTAATATCTCGTTTATTTTTCAGGAAATTCCAAATTCGTTTTCCTTCCTACCACAAAATGGAGTGAATCCCTTAGAAACTTTCTTTGGCAACGTGAGCAAAGAAGGACTGGAGGAACTTAAGGTGGGCACAATGCTATCATTTAAATATTTTGTAAACTACTTTCCTCTAAGGATATGGCAAAAAACGCTTCCAAATACACTATCAATGAGATGAAACAGAAAATGGGAGATTGGGCAAACAAATACGGTGTAAAGGTAAATGTTTGGATTTTAAAAATGTAAACGTCTCTAGGTTGATGAAGGCTGACATGTTTGAAAATACAGTACCATTAAAGTGAAAAATTGCAAACGACTTTTCTGAAAATCTATAAAAAAGTTATATTTGTTTCTGTTCAATATCATCGTTTATTTGATTTCCATCAATAATTGGAATCGATCTCGGAAAGGTAGGTTGTAGCTTTTGAAGTATCACTTTCTCGAAATGATGATTTATTACTTTTTCTTCAGCCAATACAGTTTATATGCTGGGAACAATCAGGAAAATTTTTTTGCAAAAAGTTTTGGAAAAACCAAACATTATCTCAGCCTCTAGTGAGAACATGTAATAGTCACTGATTGCAGCAAAATTAGCAAGTAATAAATTTTCAAAGAGAAAACTTTTATGCTTTATTTCAATTTTATGCTTTTCAACTTATGCTAAATTATTACAGATTAATAAATTTTTTCATGGGAAAATCAATATTTTGTTTAAATTCACCTTCAGGAGGAATTCAACAATATTGTACTCGAACGCGAATCGAATAAAACCGAACTTGCAGCAAAAGCTACTATGTAAGAACATTAAAAGCACAACTATTGTTATACGGTTTAGAGGCAATTAAACCTAAAATATTTCTAATTTCAGGATGGTCAACAAATTGCCTATGGCTTTCCAGGAACTGCTAGGATATATGTTAAACGGGGATCAAACGATACCAGAAATGATAAATTCGACTCATGCTTGCTTCCAATCTATGGATCCTCCTACTAAACGTGTAAGGAAAATTTGTATTAATTTAATTGGAACTATGTAAGTAGGAGTAGAATCCCAAAGAGCCTTACAATTTTCCATTCAGAAAATCAAACAATTTCTTAGAATCTCCTCATTGTGACGGTATTCAAAATTAATAAAAGCGACAAGAACTAATGATATTATTAGATTTGGAAGCTATTAATCTTAAATGCTCATTTGATTGATAGTTACAAAATGGCGCAAAATTAACAGAGCGAAAGAAAATCTTATATCACAAAATGTTGGCATTGGCATAAAAAGGAAAGTTTGGATATTTTTTTTCTACAATAAAATAAG